CACAGAAGGGTCAGTTTAAACAATTCCCTGGTGGAATAGAGTGGCTGGAGCAGTGTTTTGGCCCCTGGGTTTATCCTTACCAATGACCATGCTGAAGAGCTGTCGCAGCTTGAAGAATTTGGATGTGTAATCTCCAGCCTCTGTCAGCACAGCATCATAATCTGGAAAAGCAGCACATGTTTGAAAAATATCAAGCAGCTCTGGGACAGTTTTGTGCAAGAAATAAAAGCCCCAGGCACCATTTTCATGGTATGGAAACCTGTACACTTTAATCTGAGTGAACATCATWAAACAGCCACAGAATTCCTTAATTTAGAGAAGAGCCATTCACCATGGAGCAACACACTTCCAGAGATCTCATTTGCACTTATCAAGAATTTCACACAGGATAAAGTCTACAATTAACCATTTTAACCAARCATGCTGTTAGCATGAAAAGAGATTTATGGCATGATTTGACTTAGTAAAATTTAAAAATGGTGTCTTGGATCACCATCTGTCCCTAGAAAGAAGAGATATCGAGTCATTATCTGTGACAACTTTATCTATAGYTCACAATAAGGGAATCCCCCACATCCTGGAAAGGGTTGGGAATTGGAAACACTAAAATTTGCCCCCTATTTGCTTCTGAGCTGTGTTGCACCTCATCTTTCCAGGACAAAGTTGCTGTGCTGATGATTCCTCAGTGCTCCTGGTGACTGTCACAGTCCAGGGCAGTCAGAGCTGCACAGGCAAGGCAGGGAAAATAAACTCACCATAACTGGTGACATCTGACTTGTACTCATCAGCTTCCAAWGCACCATTCATGAACCCAAAGTTGGTGCCTCCATGGAACATGTAGAGGTTGATGGATGCTCCTGTTTTGAGGATGCTTGCTACTGTGTTCACCATCTCTGCAAAAAAAAAAAAGAAAAAAAGAAAAGGGCAGTGCCAGGGAGTACACAGACCACAAATCTGAGCCAGGAATTCAAACCAAACCCAATTCTGGTCCCTGTCATTCCTGTGCAGTCGTAGTGATTTGTTTTAGATTTGCATCCTGCCCTCAGTTAGGGCAGCACATCTACTGACCCGTTAATACATTCAAATAATCCTCTCATCCAGGGGAGAAAGGGGAAAGATCGAGGAATCCAGCAAGAATTTTGTTTTTAAGCAGCARAGCTGTAAGGACTCCTCAAAGTCCTAAACTGAACACACTAATGACCCAATTACAAAGACAATTGCAGGAGGATGAGAGAGTTGTTAAAACAGCCTTCTATAGCTCTGCTTTCACTGCTCTTGAGATGCCCTGGGGGTTCTGGAGTTGTTGGTTTATTGTTTTACTAGTAACAAGCTTTTAAACCAGGGACAAGGTGCCACACTCACAAGGGGCTTAATGTCACCATAAAATGTAAAACATAAAATTCACCACAAAATGTAAAATGTAAAATTCATCACAAAATGTAAAATGTTCTGCAAGAACAGCATTTGGAGCTCACCATCTGCATCAAAGACATAGTGAGGGCCTCCCCAGTTATCAAACCACCCAGTCCAGTACTCCATCACCATCTTTGGCTGRTCTTTCTGTCAAAAGAAAAACAGAATTAAAAGGGATTCAGGGCAGTCCTGCACTCACCCTTTTTTTTTCCAGAGAAGCATTGTTCAGATCCAGTGTGGTGACATGGTTTTACAGCAGTGTTTTCTTCTCAACTGGCACAGACAAAAAGGCACCTAAGGAGCTCTGGGCATGTGAGGAACAAGAAGCAATGCCCAGAACAGGMAAGCAAAGCTTTGTGCCTCAGCTAAAATCACAAAGCACAAACAATCAGGTGCTATCAGACAGCTCTGGAYGCTGCTGTTTGGTAGAGCTGCAGCAAAAAAACCACAAACCCACTGGCAGAGTTTGGTTTATGCTGAAAACACATTTATAAACGTCTGCTTATCTGCCAGCTGRGAGTTTGCAGGTGCAGGGCAGCTCYTGCCAAGGTACAACAGCAGACCTGAGCTGCTTTAATGCCTTTTTAATGCTGCATATGGTGCTGGCAGGGAAGAATCTGCAGGAATTAGGTCTTCATTAAAGGATCTGCACACAGAGCAACTGATTCTCATTTTTCACTGCCCGCCCTGAGCTCCTGCAGGATCCCACTGGTCCCAGCACATGGGCAGGGCACTGTGGGCTCAGCCTGGCTGCCCTTYTAGCCCCATGGGCTTTATTTCCAGGCAGTTTTGCCTTTTATTTGATAGGGGATTTATCTGATGCCACAGGAATTGGCTGAGGGAAGCAGCATTRAAGAAACTCCTGTTTCATTAGATGAAAATAACTGCCTGTAATCATCAAAACGTTCCAGTTCTTGGAAATACATTTAATCAATCCATCCCCAGTAAAGCAGTCAAAGAAGGAATTTTACCACATTCTGGAACAAAAACCCAAAACAAGAGAAGGATAAAACAAGCTTCATGATCCCTACAAACACTTCCTGTCTCATAATTAGTGTGGCAAAGGAGGAGTTGAATTCTGGGGCCATGTTGCATTCATTTGGTGGGGAAGGTGCCACCTTCTGTTCATTTGCAAGGYTTGGGGAATTTTGGAAGACCTGAAGGAGGTGAAAGCACTTCCAGCAGAGCCTTTTTTGCCAGGAGAAGAAAAGAAAACAAATGAAAGCTGTAGGATTAAACATCCAGCATGCCAGCAAGGCTCYTCTCCACAGCCAGGTAAAAGCCAAGGGAAGAGGTGAGAATTGAAAAAGAGAATTGAGCAGGGCTGGGGGCAGATCCCAACTGCTCCCATCTTCCATTTGGAGCAAGCAGGGAAAAAAGAGGAGAGAGGGTGCAAAGAGAGAGAAAAACTTTCRCTAACCCCAAAATTTGCCACTCCCTCATCACAATCAGGATACTCCTCACACCAACTGTTCATGAGGCAATTAATGAATTCTCTCCCTGATTCACACCTCTGACAGCATGGAGGGGTTAAAGATGCTCAAGTGTCACACTARAACTTTATAAATCTACCCTGAATGAGGCACTGGAGATGAACACCCATCACAGAGCACTGAAAGAGCTGCAGCACATCAGCAGTTTGCAAAGAGCATCCCCAGCACTGGGGTAAAAGTTTGGGAAAAAGATGATGRAACTTCAGAAGAGAGCTCAGACAAATGTGAACTGGGATGTTCCTGGGTATCAGCTCTTGTAGAATTCAAACTTCTAGCAGCTAAACATGAGGTACAGCTGGAGGGAAAGGCTTTTCAGACAGTGCTGGATAACAGGATACTTCAATCCTTCTTTCCTGATTCCARAAGGATTTGGCCTGTTGAGAAGGAAGCTCCAAACCAACATACAAAACCCAAACAAGGATCAGTGCTTCACTTCTAGTGCTGGAAAATATGGGTGAACAAGTGCTTCTGCACTTACCTGTACTGTGTCCAGGTATTTCAGCAGCCCAGGCTCCAGTTTCTGGAAGTTAACAGTGGCCAGAGCTAGTAGGGAAAGAAAAATGCATTAATTTAGGCTCATACAAAATGTCTAGGGGACATCAGCCCAGCAGGAGGGAATTGCAGCACCTTCTGAACCCCCAAAATAACCTCCTCAGAAATTTGCCATCAAAGCCTTCCCTCGGTGTGCAGAGCCCAGCAGGCCCACAGCACGCAGTGGAACACTCCCAGGCCATCTCTCAGCTCTAATGTGCAGAGATATCAGACAGAGAGAGCATCAGAGCAGCTCCTGGGGTGTCACCAGCTCTAATTAGAGCCTGTAAAGCACTCCGAGATCCTCACATAAAARGCACCACATAAAGGCAAATTTATTAGTGAGTCCTGTCAGGATGGCACACTGCTGTCCCAGGCTGTGGCTGCAGGAATCACTGCCCAGGCAGGATCTTACAGCTTCTCATGGCTGTGGGGGTGAGCAAGAGGAACCACGGGACAAGGGRACCACAGAGAATCAGAATTCTGATTGATTCTGAACGAAGAGCTCTCTGTGCTCCTGCCCATCCTSAGGCTCTGCACTGGGAACATCTGCCTGCAGGACAGGAAATACTAACCAGGATCAGTGTCCCAGCCCCTGGCACACATTTTAACCATTTTCCTGTCTCCCAGCCCTTGGTCAGGCTGGTATTTCTCCCAAACGAACTGTGCAAAGGCAGCAGCGATGATGCGATTCAGCATTAAAAATTGACTTCTAACAAGAGAGTTGCTATCAAACCCAGCCCCAGTTGTGTCAGGCAGAGCASTTCAAACAGAATATTTACAGAAGAAAAAGCTCACTTCTCACTATTTATACCTTGATTTTAATAGGCTGACCTATGTAGTGCGCTGAGCTGAAGAATTCAGCACAGAAAACATGAAGGGAGAACAAAACAAAACGTGGATTTAGCACTGCTGTAATACATGAGCTGGCAATGCTGAAGGAGAACGTGCCCAGCTCTGCTCCTCATGCAGATTAACAGCACACCATGGAAAAGAGAACATCCCCAGAGCCTCATTTATCCTTCTCACAGGATGCTCCTTCAAGGTGTCCCACCATGGCCCTGAAGCCACGGCTGGAGGGACAGCAGAGGTTTTGTTTGGTCACCCATAAAGTCCTAAAAGGGCTACACCAGGTCAGATCAGCTTGGAATCAGATCAGGTTGGGATGGAAGGGACCTTCAAGCTCATCCCATCCCACCCTAYCCCACCTCCCACTATCCCAGGGTGCTCCAAGCCCCGTCCAGCCTGGCCTGGGACATTTCCAGGGATGKGGAGYRATTCCTGCCTCTCCTTCAGCCCCTTCCTCACCACCCTGCTGCTGTTCCACGTGCAGCCCTGGCTGTTCCACCCATCTGAGCAGTGACACATCGCCTCTAATGAGCAGATTGTTGTGACATCCAAGAAGCAAATTGGGAGCAGAGAGCTCCCAGCATGAACACACCACGGAAAAGGYGACTCAAAACAAGAAGGAGCTCTGAGGCTGCAAATACTCCCTCAGGAGATGAGGGCTAGGAAGGATTTCCACACCAGCCCTTCTCCTGACAGCTCTGTGGCAGGCAGAGAGTGACTCTGTGTGGTCACAGCTGAAAACTGCTGCACACCCAAAAAAAAATCCAAAAGACAAGATTGCCGTGCTGGTGAAAGCCTGTGACTTCAGTTAATAAATTTATCCCTCTCATACTGCCATGGACAAGAAAAAGAAGAGGAAAAAACGGAAAGAAAAGTATTTTCCTTTAATCATCTCCATGTCTGAGATTGAAAAATTAACATTATTTATGACTGAGTAGTGACAGGAACACTCAAAGACTGTACCCTGCAAACATTTAATTTGGGGAAGCAACCACTTCTCATGCAGCTCTGCACTGAGTGGAGAGCAGAGGCCAAGGACAGARTAAATCCCAGCTGAAATTACCTGGAATTCTGAGATTCAGTGYCCCAAGMAGTCACATTTAGKGCTCAGTGAAATGAAAGAAGCTGCACCTCCATTTCTTCACAGGGGAAAGGAGGAAGGTGCTCAGCAGCATTTTAAAAACACAACAGAATAATCCTTTGTAAAGGGGAAAATGGGAAYTCTTTTGYATTCTGCACATCTGACACCCTCCYTTACCCAYCKAAGGTTCTACACCCCAAAATAAACTTGCTGAGAAAATAATGCTGCCCCACAAACTACTGCTAAATTTCAATGTAGAATTCAGAAGCAAGGTTTTAATSKACTTTTTTGCTTCTCTTTTTAATTRCAAAGCAGCTACCTTAGGAATGAATTATTACTGTCAGTAATTGCTGAGGAACTGTTTAATATATATTGAAATGAAGCAATAAACAGCATTTTCAGCCTTGTAATCTGCTGAAACATTAAAAAAATGCTGGGTGCTGCCATCTCTTGACTCAGATGCCCAATCCTAGACACAGTGGTACACCTCACATGGAAAATAAATCACTTAAAACCTTTTTGGGAAGGGGCTGGGTTTGTCCTGGGGGCACCACCCAGCCAAGGGGTCCCTCYTACCATAAACAGAACCCACTCAATGGGTGCAGAGGGTGAATCAATGTCCTGCTCTCCTTACAAAGCCAAATTCCCCAGAGATCACAGCCTTCCCTCACCTCTGCAGGCACTCACCTCCTTCCACCAAGCCAAAGGACAGYCCATTCTTGTTGTCTGAGGTCATCAGCAGCTCCACAATCCCTCTGTTTAACAGGGCCTAGGTTAAAAAGAGTTAAAATATTAACAGAGTTCAACATCTCCCAGGATATAAAAGTACAGAATAATCTTCTGTGAGGATAGCCTGCAACTGGGAGTTGTTTGGAATGAAATATTATTCCTGTGGCATCTCCCATTCCTCCTGAAGCTTCCCTGCCTACTTTTTCCAGCTTAAAGACAACTGGAAAATCTGATTTTGTGTCAGAAAGTGGGATCAGTTTCTCACTGATGCATCCAACCTCAGGATTTTTGCTTGTGATACTGATTTAATAAATAGTTTCAGTGCTTTCATTTAAAGAGGGATTCAGRTGGGAAGAGGAAAGGAAAAGCAGCTCAGACTTCCTGACTGCCTGACAATGGAAGCTGAAAGGAAAAAAAGAGCTGATTTCCCAGGGAATGCCATCACAGGACAGCTCAGRTACCAATGTTCTTCAATAATCAATGAATTTAGTGATTCCTCAATATCACAGCACYGGAGGAAACAGCACTCTAAGCTTTYAAAATCCACCTGCACACACAAGACTCTTCCCACCAGGATTATTCCCTTGCAGTTGGCTCTTGACAGAACAGTGGCTGATGTTTGACGGAGAGATTAGGGAACCTTGGTTGTTAATTAACCACTCATTTCACTGTACCTGCACAGAAAGTCATTCCTGCAGCTCCCAGAAGCTCTGAGAACAAGGTTTCAGTCTCTTCAGYCTAAATTACTGCTGGTAAAATGGTGGTGAAGCCCTCTGCTCATTGTCCCTGCCTGCACAAAGAGCAGAGCTGGCCATGGCACCAGAGAAATGGTGCAGGAGGCTACAAAACCAGCTCAGAGTCAGGACAACCTGGTGACTTTATCAACCCCTCACCACTACAYTGATACCTCAGCAGATGCTGCATTGGGACAAAATTCAGCTGCTGAGGGAACTACAATTTTGGACCAATTTTACTGAGGTGATTCCTTGAGCACTGCATGAATGTGAAGTTTCTTCTCTYCCTTTTGGATGTAAAYGCAAAATGGAGAAACAGCAGAGCTGCCAMACATTTCCTGCTTCCCAGGGTGCAGCAGAGAAGCAGGAATAGCTCAGTTTTGTGTGGGAAGGGTCATGTCAATAAATCCTTGCACAGAGGCATTGCACCCCAGAGAGTGAGGAAAGTACAGGGAATTGAAGTTTTGTGTGAGTTGTGGGTGTTTCTTAATGATTATGGGAATTCCAGGAAGGTGCAGCGTGGTCACAGATGCCAGATGTGAATTAATCACCTTGCCACAAATCAGAACAGACTCAGAACCCCACCTCACATCAGCTCCCATTCCAATCCCAAAAGCAGCCCTGCAAATCCTGCTTTCCCACATTTTCATCTCTAACCACGACTCTGTGCTTCCTCAGATGTAAATTGCACAAAACCTTAGAATATGATGAAACAGCACTGCAAAAATACACCCACAGGCCTGGCAGGGGAATGTGTCCTGACAGGTCTGAAACAGCACAAGCTCCTTCCTCACCCAGCCTTGCAGAAGCAAGGACAAGCCTGCAGGCTGTGCAGAACCCCAGAACCCTGGGTCCTGTTTTTTTAGGGTTCTGAAAACCCCTTGCATGGCATTACCCCTAATTTGTTTGTCAAACACTTCATTTTTAGCTTTTTTAGCAGCGTTAARTYGCTCCAKGAGATGGGGTCAGTGCAGGAGCAGRCACCMTAAGGTGATCAGYRCTCCTGCCATGGGATTGCTTTGTCTGAAGAGCCTTGGACACCCTSAGCTTCATTTTTTAATGTTTCAGCAGATTACAAGGCAGAAAATGCTGTTTATTGCTTCATTTCAATATATATTAAACGAGTTCCTCAGCAATTACTGACAGTAATAATTCATTCCTAAGGTAGCTGCTTTGTAATTAAAAAGAGAAGCAAAAAAGTCCATTAAAACCTTGCTTCTGAATTCTACACTTCAATTTAGCAGTAGTTTGTGGGGCAGCATTATTTTCTCAGCAAGTTGATTTTGGGGTGTAGAACCTTAGATGGGTAAAGGAGGGTGTCAGATGTGCAGAATGCAAAAGAATGCACATTTTCCCCTTTTGCAAAAGACAATTCTGTCGAGTTTTTAAGACGCTGCTCAGCACCTTCCTCCTTTCCCCTGTGAAGAAATGGAGGTGCCGCTTCTTTCATTTCACTGAGCCCTAAATGTGACTTCTTGGGGCACTGATTCTCAGAATTCCAGGTAATTTCAGCTGGGATTTACTCTGTGCTCAGGGTGCAGCTGGGGAACCCAAAGGGTGTCAGAAGGACCCCATAATCGTGCAGTAGAAGAGCAAGGCTGGATGGGTGACCCCCATCACATGCAGCGATACCTTTGAGCATTCAGTGAGAAGAAACAAAACCCCAAACCCTGTGAGCCACGCTGCAGAGCTGTTTTCTGCCTGCCCTGCACTCGTGCTGGGGGTAAACAAACAGGTCAGACTGCTGTGAGATCCATCCTCCAGGATAATCCACGCTCCCTGGGCACAGGCCAGCTCCTTATCACTCCCTCAGAGCAACCAGGGCATGGTTTAATCCCYTCTTGACAGGGGTGAGGGAGGCATTAGGCAAATTACCCTGCCTGATGCTGAGCCCCACATTACACAAGCTTAGGAGCGTGCTGAGGGCTTGTTCCATCAATTTTCCTCCCAGCAAAGCYAGCAGAGAGAAACCTTTATCAAATATCATCTAAGAGAGGCAAAACAGGACCCACAGGTGGCAGCTTCCCCAAAGCCAGCCCTGCCACACTGAAACTCCCCAGCTCCCTATCACCCTCTTCTCTGGGGGACATAAAAACACAGATTTATCAGCACTGAGAGGGTCATGTGCCAGTTCTTGCACTCCTGTAGGAAACATTCAAGGAAAATGCAGCTGGGTAAGGCACTGTGCTTTCAAGGATCTCTTAAACCACACTCAAAAGTTATAGAGAAAAAAGAAATCACTGTAAGGAGGTGATTTAAGGGAGAGGTTGACACARAAACAAGTAAAAGAGCATCCATTACCATTTTGACATAGGTCATGTAGTTCGGGTCTTTGGCATAAGAACCATATTCATTCTCCACCTGCACTGCAATGATGGGACCTCCTTTCTTGTACTGTGGGGGACAAAAGGGACAAAGAAGGTGTTCACCATGATTTCTGACCACAGGCACCAAAATCCCACTGGCTGGCACTGCAAAGATGCACTGGGCTCAGCTCCACCCTCCCTGCTCCCAAACTGACACAGAAAACACCACTCTGTGCTGATTCCTGGAGCAAAACCCATCCAYGTGTGATTGCTGCAGCCTGCTGCTGTCCCCACAGCCCACACTGCCCTGAGCAGCCCTTCCAACCCCTGGGCAGAGAAAGGGACTGGRCTTGCCTGGAAAGGGACAACCACACGCATCAGGCGGTCGAAATAGGAATCCACAGCCTCCGTGAAGCCCTTGTAGGTTGTCCTGAGCTGCATCTCGGGGTCCTGCAGCAGCCAGCTGGGGAAAGCAGGACAGGGATGTGTCAGAGCTCCTGGCCAAGCAAACACAGGTACTGCACACTCTGATATCATCACACCTGGGCAAAAACCACTGGGGTCACCTGGCAGAGCCCAGAGAGCACCTGGGACACCCTGAGCTGGCGGTGACACCAACTGCCCACCACTCACACTTTTAAACAAGTCCAGGCCCCAGTTTCCATCTCTCCCTTTTCTTTTTGTTCTGCATTTCAGGCCTAAACTCATTTCATCACCTTTACCAATAATATTCCAAGGGCTAATCTTATCAGTGTAAAGTGAATTCCCTGCATTCCCAAGGGCATTCTATAACCAAGTGCTCCTTCAAAAAAACCYGATCCTTTCTCAAAACAAAGCTTTCTGTAATTGTTCCCATTGCTGATTTACAAGACTTGGTTCTGTTTGGAGTTAATAGAAAAAAGGGCAATTTATTGAAGTGCAGAACAACATAATGCTGTAACAATTTAAGGGGAATGAGCCCATATCTTAATCTTCTCTGCAAAATGAGGCCTTAACTAATACCCTTTCAGAGGTCTGAAAGACTCCACTCTATGCTAAATGCAGCTTTGTGGATTTTTTAAAAAAACATCTCCTCTTTAGCTGTAAAAGAGAATAGTACTGATGCTCTTTATCAGAATTTTTCATCTGTCTCATAAAAAATACCTGGGTGATGTGACAAGAGATGCAYTTCTCATAATCTAACGTGGAGGTGGCTACTGGCTCTGGTCGTGAGGATCCCTGCTCTCAGTAGTGAGTCCCTGACACCTGAACTCTGATGCCAAAGGCACGTGAAAAGTAAAAAAGATTAAAAGAAATAATCCCCAAGTGTCTCTCTCCACCTGTGCTCTGTGCAGGTGAGGAAAACAAGTGGTAACCTGGCAGTGGCTGCTCTGGGATCCAGGAACCAAGAGAGTCCCAGGGCTCTCAGAGCCTCTCACAGCAGGCTGTGCTCCAGGGGAAAACACAACAGGAGGCTGGAAAAGTTGTGGGTCTTTTTGACTGCCAGCCATATAAGACAGATTTCTAGCAGGACTTWTAAAATGGAGCTGAGATGAAGCAAATTCTTACATCAAGATGTAAATCMTGTTCATATTACACAGMGAGTYRAGGTACAACAGCAAAATRGGYTCCYTCAATTCTGTTTTCTTGCTGTCACCATTATACCGTAACACAATTATTATTTTAAAGATTAAAAACTCAAAAAATAATTAGAAGAGCTCAATAAGATAATGAGCATTCACCTGCTTTGGGGACACATAAAATAAATATCCCCATCTAGCAAACCAATCCCTTTGAAGGAGCCTCAACTGGATGATCAGGGATTTGGGGGTTGTTTGTCCCAAATGCTTCTCTGAACCATTCCCACACTCACCTGGGCAGACCCCCAAGGTCCCACTCGGAGCAGATGTAAGGTCCAGGGCGCAGAATCACCCACAGTCCATTTTTAGCTGCCAGGGAAAGGAAGGCCCTGGGGATCCAGACAGAGGAATCATTGTCTGCCTGCACAATCCCTACTCCATGCACTCCTAATATTCCAATCACCACAAACTTTAGGTACCAAAACCAGAAGGGAATTGCTTGATGAAGCAACAATACTGGATTGGTGCTAAACTGATTCCCAAACTCCAGAAGGCAGGGGAAGGAATGAGTTCCCAWTGCCTGCTCCAGGCACAGCTGGAAATAACATTTTCACCCAGAACACACACCCCCTCCCCTCTAAACAGGAGTATTTAATACTCACTTATTAATATTAGCTTTTATAATAATAACAGAGCTGTCTGTACCACACACCTTAGATCCAGGTTTTTACTGAAGTCAAACTTCCCTCTTTCCTTTTCATGCAGGTTCCATGGCACRTACCTGAAAGGCAGAGTGAGGGCAGGGGAGGTGAAGGATGAGGTCTGGGATGCTCCAACAAAACCTCAGGCCCCATTATTCTTTCCAATGTCTTTTCTTGTAATAAGAAGTATGGAAATGCATTTTTATGGCCCAGTGGAAATAATGACAAAGCCCCACGAGTGAGGAGCAGGGCAGAGGCTGGGTAGGGAGGACTCTTACGTGGTGAGRGTGTTTAAGCCACAGGCTTTCATTTTGAGCATCCGATCTTCCCAGTACTCGCGGGGCACTCGGAAATAGTGCATGGAGCCACCAAAGATGCGGAAGGGCATCCCCTCCARCAGGAACTGAGAGTTCTCTGTCTGCAGGCCCAGAGTCCTCCCCCACAGCCCCAGAGGGGTCAGCTCGCTCCAGTTAAACCTGGGAGACAAAAGGAGATGTGTGAGCAGCTGGTCCTGGTGAGGAGATGTCCCCTCCTCACTCCACCTCACCCAGTGGGACCAGCTCGGACCTTCCTGCTTATCAAGCAAACCACAGAGCWCAGAGACTGCTCAGAATCATTAATTAATTAAATGAGCAGAAGGCTCTAAGGCAGCTGGAAGATCTTCCCAAAATGTGGATTAATTTTAATTTCACCATCAGCTTCCCCCCTGAATGCCCCAAACCACTGTGCCACACTCTACAAGTGACACTGCTCAGGCACAGAGCTGAAACTCACTTGCTGAAATCATGGATGGGCAAGTTTTCACTCACAATACTCGCAAACTCTTCCCTCATTTATGGAATTTAAGATCTCCCTGTTTTGCAGCAGGATGGCACATCCAGATCCATGTTCCAACAGCGTCTGCACCTCATCATTGCCATCCTGAACATCTCGTGGACTCTGGTACCTTCCAAAGCATGGAAAAAATAAACCCCCCTCACCTGTTCCCTGTGAACAGAGAACYTTTCCTCAATTTAATGAACCTTCCTAGATKATATTCATCACCCAAGAGAGACTAAACCAGCTGTCACCACAAACTTACCTCTGCCCTCATCCCTGAAAATGTCATTTGCCAAAAGAACCAGTGCCACAGGGACAGCAGCTCCTCAGCACTCACCAGGGTGAGCACAGCTCCTCTAAGGTCAGCTCCTGCCCTTCCCATGGCCTTACAGGCTCCCCAGCTCACTGTGGCTGAACCAAAACCCCATTTTATGTCAAGCCCAGACACAGAGCAGTGTCACCGCCTCCATCAGACCAGCCCAGTGGCTCTGAATACACAGAGCCAGACAATGGCAGCTTGTTCCTCGTCACAGCCAGATGTGAGGCACCAATTCCCAGCTGCAGAAAGCAAGAGTGACCCACACATTTGAGAGAACATCACACTAAGAGAAGAGAGGAGCACCTAAGCCTGCAGCTGCTGCCTATGCTATGTGTGAAGCAGTTGTTAGCAGAGGGTGAGGATGYTCAGAGCTGGGATTGCTAACCAGCAGCCTGCCTGTCCTCTGACAGGACAGGGACWCTACAAAGGAGCTAAATCTAAGTCTTGCAGGACACTGCAGGGGCTGGCTGACAAGCTCAGAGGGTACCTGAGTAGCACAGCATTCTCACAGGGCTCTGAAACAACCGGCAGCAGGCAGGGGTAATACCTGGAAAAGGAAGCCAGATGAGATATTCACTGCCTTCAGTCAACGAGACTCACATTGATTGTCCAGCCATTCACAGAAAGAGTGCTGAGCATGGATCCACTCCAAAGGTGGGGGAATAATTACAGGTTTTGATGATAGTGCAGCTCAAGTGGGAGAAATCAGTACAAAACACCGATGTGTGCCACATTTAAAGGAATGGGAACAGGACACAAACTGCTCACTGACTCAAGAAAAGTGGGTACAGCCACAAAATAATGACACGAGGCTGGGAAATGGCAGCACTGCCCCCAAGGAATTGTCAGGAATTTCAGCAGCAGTGGAGAGTTCTCAAGCCACTGATTTCCTGTGGCCACCTGCCCCTCGATTCTGCTAAATTACAGACTGTAACTTTTGCAAACCAAAATCAGCAGCTACATCTTCTATTTCAGGTGGTAAGTCTGAAGTGGCAAGCTCAAACGAGTCTGGAGATGCAAAACTCCGATTTTTAGAGATTAGGATGGAAAAGAGCTAAGTTTCCAAGTTGTTTCTGAGCTAGGCAGAGCCCTAAATTACCCCTGCATACAGAAGTGCTGCTGACTGGTGCCAGACTGAAGGCTGTGCTCAGGAAGCGCACACAGCCAGATAAAAATAAACTAATCACTTAAGCTCATCTTCTTAATCCCAGGCATAACGAACTTGGCACATTTCCATCAAGTTTCCTACTTCAAAACTCCCCGGCTCCAGTGCTTTTTCTCACCAAGAAGGGCTGGTAGGAAGCTCACAGGTCCYGATATTTTCGACACATTGTCCTAGATATCCTGAAACCCACATTTMTCATTAGGATCTGTTCACGTAACCTCAGGAAAAAAAACACTTCTGTGACTCAGCAGAGCTTCATCCTGTTACCCTGAGCTGGATTGCCACAATTCAAAGCGTACCTGGGTTCGGTACATCCTCCTGAGAGCAATTTATAGCTCCCAGYAGATTTTTTTCTCACTTCTATAATGATAGCACAGGTTGCAAATTACTTTTTTTTTGCTGTTAAAGGTAACTGGCCTCCTTTGTACACCTCAGTAGCCATCCCTGGGAGTGTTCCAGGCCAGSTTGGATGGGGCTGGAGAAACCTGGAATAGTGGAAGCTGTCCCTGTCCATGGCAGAGGGTGGAACTGGGTGATCTTTAAAATCCCTTCCAACTTAAACCATTGCAGGATTCTACGATTCTGTGATTCTGTGATTTCATCTCTGCTTCATGGAAGTCTCTTTTTGTTTTATAAAATAAGTAGCATTCCATTACYAAGTATCCCCAGAACAGAGACTCTGAAGTTGGACAAGTTAATCCAAAAAAGGTGGAATAAGACTTTTTAAGAGGGAATTTGAAATGCAAAATACAACACATGGAAAAGGAAAGTCTCACTTAACCTCTAAACCAAACAGCCACGCTGTTCATGCCTGTGAAACATAAATGTGGCTGAAGTCCTCTCTGCAAGAGAGATTTACCTTTAGTGTTTCAACCTCCCCATATCCAGAACAGTGGGGAAAAAAAGCTAATGGGAAAGAAAACAGCCAAACCAGGGGAAAAAAAGCCATTAAGTTCTTTTCTGATGCTAAAGGACGTGGTTCAGAGGACAAGGGACTTTGCAGCTAATCCCTAAGCTCCACTGAGACCTCCGAGGGCTTTGCTGTTTATTCTGGGCTCCCTCTGGCCAGAGAAAAGTGAAAGCTCTGAGCTGCCCTGGCTCCCAGCTCGCTGCCCTGCACAGCCCCTGCTGCTCACAGACCATGGTCTGAGTGACAATCACAACATTTTGTGGCACAGTTTATCCTGGACACGGTGGTTTATTCTGGATATTGTGTTTTATGGACACACTCTTACAGAAGACAGATTCTGTGCCTMCATCAGGTATCAGTTTGCATTAATCTGCTCTAAGAACCCAGGTGGCACAAACCCAAGGCCAGCTGTGAAAGAATTTTGCTTCTAATTATGCAAAGATTTATGAAAGCTTTTCCATAGCTCTGAGGATCAGGTTTACTTCTGACTATGATTTTAAGAAGCTGTTATAAAACATCTAGCTGGCAATAAATAATTGTATTACACCTTCATACGCATCCATGTGTATTTCCATGTATTCTCCAGCACTTTGCTGTCAGGAACTGAAGAGTTTCTGTCACCTGAGAGCCACTCTGGCTAACACATGGGACAYGCTCCTCTGGAAAACAGCATCACCCCCAAAATGAATGTGATCTAAAGCACATGGGATTCAAGCTACAACCTCGAACTGCTTGCTATTACTGGTGGGCTACAGAGGAACAGCTGCTGGTCTGGAGTGTGAAATAGGACCAGCAGAAGGAAGATAAGAGGGTTTCACAGGAGAGGTGGCCATGGGCCATGGGTGGGCAGAGACACAGAACAAGGAGATCCAGCTCCAGAGAGGGAAACAGCGCTGGTGCGAGCACGTCAGAGAGCCCCAGAGCTGGGTCAGATCTGCCGGAGCGATTGATTCGCAAAGTGCATCATCCATCAGCGCTGCGATGATGTAAAGCCTCCCCCGAGCCAAGGTCGGCAGGAGAGCGTTAGCCTAACACACAACCTGATTTATGGCGCTGGCAGCGGGGCTCTCCTCGGCCCTTACTTTTCGGGATGGACAAGAGCTGTGGATATCAGCTGCCACATTTATTTAAAGCTTTGGATAATTCCGGCACGGCGGCGGCGTTCCTCGCCCCGCTCCTTCCCACGCTCCCGTTCCGCTGCAGGGATGATGGGAGCGGGGGGTCTCCGGTCGGAAAAGATGGGATTCTATGGAGCCTGGCTGCCRCCCGGTAACAACCCGGCACCGCGCGGGGGGCACGCACGTTAATTACGTTAATTACGCTAAAATCCATTCTCCTCTCCACCGGCGCCGCCGATTCCATCCATGCGCAGTTCTCCCGCTCCCGGCGGCGGGGCCTGCGCCCAGCGGGGCAGCGGCACCCGCCCAACGCCGCC